CCGCACGCCTCTTGTGCAGTTCCCGTGCCCCGCAAAGAGCTCCACCCAATCATACTCCTCGCGTGAGGGCAGCAGGAAAGTACATTTGCATCAGGCTTGCTCAGATCTGGCATGTTCCACTTGCAGCAACACAACTTGATACATGCACAAAGTCCGGGAAGCCTCCTCAGACAAGTCGTACAGGCCCTGCGTCCAGATGAGCATCAAGACGATGAGCACAAACTCCTGTAGAGGCAGGGTCGGGAGCGCGTCATTCCGAGAGTTAAGTCGTGAACATGGTCAGGTTGTATGTTACCTATACGAGGTATAGGCACCTATTGTATAGCTTCGGCTTCTTGAGTATGATTAAATGATGATAGACCGAGTGCAAGGCAAGCATTCCATATCAGTACAAAGTATTTGGCAGGGTGTGTGGCTGTTCTAGTATTAAAGCGACTACTTGGTGCGATCTGATCAGCAATAGGGTTAGGCATTTATTGAGATATGTTGAGATTATGATTTAGCTTTTGCGGGGACAGATTACACTTTCGATCGTATTGAGGGGCTGGAGGGTTTACATATGAAATGATTATAAGTATATATACATATATACATATATATATATAATTCATATAGCCAAAATACATGAGGTAGATACGGTGAGATGGAGTGAAACCGGGCATTTGCCAGGGCTAGATAGTACTGTACATCTAGATGGGTGGATTCTGGAAACTACAATCCATCAGAAGCCTTATTGAGCACAGCTTCAGATCGCAGGACACGAGCCGAAAACCCAAGTATGCGACCTTAAATCTGAAATAGCCAACATACCTGAAACACCCGCAGCAACTGCAACCCGGCCACCCGTGGTGCCCCCAGCATCAAGAGCTTGCAGACAAGCACATCCGTCGGAATCATGATTTGAGGTTCTTTGGGCAGGCTATATAGGTCTTCCTACAGTTTCACTCTGAGCGGCTTGATCTGTGAAAGGCACACACATTTTGTGCAGACACAAGCTCTCACACAGAATGCAGAAACCAACGCATTCGCTCGAGCAGAGTGATTCGGCTGAAACCACGGTGCACCACAGCTTAAATGCACAACTGACCACTACAACAAGTAGGACCCTTGAAAGCGAGCACAGGAGACGCTTAGCCTGCTGCTTGCGCCTTTTGCTGCGGCGGCAGTAGGACACCTTTCGGCCCTTTCGGTGGCCCATGAACAGACCTCGGCACAAGAATACATGTGTTATAGTGTCGATCTATCTAACTCAGCAGAGCAACGGTTTGCCATCATGCATCAGGCGAGCTGTGTGGTGAGTGCAACACATGAACGGTCACTGTTTTCCATCCTTCGGAAACGAGCAATGCAGAGGACCACACCTACGTGTTTAGAGCAGTCATGTTGCACATCGGCTCGGCTTGAGCATCGGGCCTTCGAGGCGACAGCACATCGGGCAATATTTAACATATATGTACGTGTGCAGGTATAATATGTATATAGCACACTGTATATAAGTGTATAAACACATACAGAAACACACATATATATATATATGCAATATAATATATAGAAATATACACATCCCAACACACTTCCCTAATCATTCTTGCCTCGGCCACTGGTACCAAAATTCAGCACATGTTGTGCGCACTGCCGTGTTGAGCTTCAAACAGCAAAGCTCATGCATGGGCTACACAGTGCTTCTAAAGAAGCCCTCCCCGTCGGCGCCCCAGCACTGCTGCCATGCACGACCAACGTGATCTAAGAAGCTACGCACAGCAGCCTCCGCATCCTTTGGATGAGGTGTGGCTCGATGTCCACAATCAGAATTTCTTGCCATTCGGCCTTTCGCGTAGCAGCTCCATCATAGCAGCTGCCCCCACGGTTCTCCACTTGATCTTCTGGTCCTCGATGCCGCTGTCCTTCGGGTCCTCAATGTCGTTGTCCTCCAACCAGCTGCCCTGAGCAGAAGCAAAGCAGTACAGTGACACCATAAATGCCCTTTTGAGCATGTAGCATGATCTTGTATATGTGAAGGCACAAACACATGAGACAAGTGGCCATGAAGCTTGCACACGCCACGGCAACGGCCATGCCTTCAACGCCCTTCTCAAAGAAGAAATGGCCAACGTCGCGCTTCTGCTCACCACGGCCGTCGCGGTAGTTCAACTGCAACCCACATGCGGACTTTTGCCAATACGGGTTGAGCCGGGCCCTCTTGGAAAACACTGGGAACTTCTCCTTCATTGCAGCCTTGACGTCATCAGACAGCAGGTCCACATTGCGCACCCACTCGACCACGTCATCAATCTCACAACGGAACATTTTAGTGTCCTCCGGCGACGCATCCTCGAGCTTCTTCGGGGGCCTGCCACCCTTGCCCTTGGCCTTGGCAACCGCTTTTGCTTTGGCCTTTGCTTTGCCCTTCGCAGCCGGCTTGGCCTTTGCCGTGGCCTTTGCTTTGGCCTTTGCTTTGGGCTTGGGCAATGCAGCCTTGGACTTGTGCACCGCCCCAGCCTTGGCTTTGGCCTTGGCTTTGCCCTTCGCTTTCGGCACTTTCGTCTTGCCGGGCCCATTGGCCTCAGGAGCATCCCAATCTCCATTCTCCCAAGCCTCCCACTCCTCAGCAGTCCATTCCTGCTCATCACCCCAATCCCCGCCGGGGGCATCGGTCTCTGGCCAATCATTGACACCGTCGGGAGCGTCCTTCTCTGGCGAATCATTGACACCGTCGGAACCGTCCTTGTCTGGCCAATCATCGGCACCGCGGCTGCGCATCCCTTTTCTCCCACGCTTGGCGGCCTTTAGCTTATCCAAGCGAGATCTTGTTCTCTTGCGCTGCAATGCCTCCTTGTTCCTGCCCTTGCCATACAGCTTCTCCCTATTGTTCTCCTTGTTCGCTGCACGTACACCCATTTGGTCACGTCGTAGCAGAAGTCCCTGCCACGGGTGCACACACACTTTTGCACACGTTATGTTTGTGGCAGTGTATACATACCTAAACATACACGTGTGTCAGGGCTGTATGGAAGCACACATATATGAGCCAATGTGTACAAGCTTCTAGGCCCCCATGCACACAAATGACTATATATAGGTCTATATATGTTCCATGCATGAAACATATGCTTCGAACATGTGGCTAGCACTGCCAGGCCGGCCTCAGAACCAATGGGCTCATCTTCGTCTTCATCATCGGGCTTCGGCTTTTCATCGGCAGGGGGCTCTGGGTCTTCAGCAGGTTCAGCTTTGACCATCATCGCTACCGTGGGAGGAAGTCGCTGCTGATACACTTCTCGCAATTCCCCTGTAGTTACCTCGTGCACAGCAAGCCCCCAGGATGACCCATAACCCGTATCATCCTGCAGACTCTTGCAGCTTTCAGGCGTCTCAGCAAAGATATCGCAGGGCTGTGTCTCGACAGTGTCCAAACCTGAGTAGGGCATGACTATATCACTTAGTGGGGTCTTCTGCGTGTCAAGACTTAGGATTACGTATTCCAGAATGCAAGCGAAGCTTCTCTCTGAGCGTGCCGTGGGCGCCTCGCCCCGAGGCACCACATCCTTGAACAGCTGCTTCGGCTCCACTGAGGCCCACGTGGCAGGCTTCGCGTCACGGAGCCTGATCGAATGACAAGGCTGGACAGTCGCTGTGATTGGGTGAACAATCCTGAAGAGTCTGCTTATCTCAAAATTTCAGATTCGTGACTCCTTCAGCCTTGCCCGGGCCCATTGGATCTTCTGCTGCAACATTGCGACGTTTGTTGGTTCGATGCCTTTCTCGCCAGTGACCGGTGACAAGCGACCTTACATGATGGAAGCATAACGAATGTTGCGCATCATTAAACAGTGCATGCATGCAGCTGTAGCAAATTAACAAGTGTAGCTAGTCTACCATCACAGCACAGAAACTGGTGCCCAAACGTGGTGACGGGGTCCGGATCGAAGCTTCACTTGACATCGGGGAAGTTGGGCTAGATGTGCTATGCATCACACCAGTGCTAGATGCTAGTGGGACCACTGCTGCCGGTGCTGTCTGGCTTGGGACCACTGCTGCGACTGCCGGTGCTGTCATGGCTTGCGGTGGGACCACTGGGAGCGATCTGGTTGGGACCACAGCTGCGTGCGATGGGACCACTGCTTCGACTGCTGGCACTGCGTGGGATGGGACCACTGCTGCAACTGCTGGTGCTGTCACTGCACGGGATGGGACCACTGGTGCGACTGCTGGTGCTGTCACTGCTTGGGATGGGACCACTGCTGCGACTGCTGGTGCTGTCACTGCATGGGGCGGGACCGCTGGTGCGACTGCTGCTGCATGGGATGGGACCACTGGTGCGACTGCTGGTGCTGTTGCTTCATCAGCTGTCGTTGTGATAGAGGCATCCGCATCCGGACTAGGATCATCAGCCTCCTGGCCAGAACCCTGCAAACACCCCAAAGCAGTGTTAGACCCTTGCAACCAATCACCCAAACAGGAACTCGGACAATTCTGACCCCTGAAGCCCTGTCCGGAGGAGCCAGCCGAGAACGGAAGACGTCCACGTCTTCCTGTGATGGAATGGGCTTTGGGATTGGAGGTGTATGTAGATGTGTATATGAACAGACACACACATATATGCGTATGTATTGTCCGAAAACAGCTGTCTAGCTACCTTCATATCCATGGTGTGTATGTATATGTATGTGTACATCATATTGGTAATTGTTTGACATGCGTATTCGACTATACGACTTCTCGATATCGGGCTCTGAGGGCTAATCATTTTTAGGGTTACAAAAAGGTTCTTGTAGCTTAATTATGGCTAGATAGCTATAGTGGGTCATAGCTAGGTAAACATGCGGTCTGCACAGAAACGCTCTGCTCGACTGGGTGAAAAGCCGGCCTGCAAGGCAGGGTTCAAGATCAGCATCAGCTCTTGAAAGTTGAAGACCTGGGATTCACATAAGGCGGTGCAGAAATTAGAGGGTCCTTTTCATCTGATCGGTGGCCTCTAGCTCACATCAGGATTTCTATACTCATAGGTGCAGGCAAAGATCAGTACTGACTTCCCTCCTCGCAGCTTTCCGCTTCATGAACGTGAGCAGTTTGCGCAGCTCCCAGGCCCAGTCATCTACGGTGCTTTCATCCGGTTGGCGATGATGGGCTTGCAAAGTCAAAGTGGTTTGTTCACGCAAACCTTCTATCTCCGGCCTGCGGTGTGCGCATGCGAAGGAACGTGCCGCCAATGGCATGAGAATATCCAAGTTTGCCACACATCGGGCCACTGAAAACTCCCCAAGGTTACCAGTCACCAAGTCCCCCCCAGCCCGTAGAGCTTCCCGAACATTCTGCAAACCATCCCAGTCTTCCTTTAACCCAGCGCAATCGAAGCGTGGTTGATCTTCAGCCTCCATGGCTGAAAAAGCTGTGCTACACAAAAGCCAGAATGGGCTTTCATAAGAGATGCATGCTTTCATACTCATGCCGACAGATCACAGCACAATGATCAAGGATGAGCCCCTTGCAACTTGGTTCCGGGCTTGGTCACATAGGAAACGATCGAGGTGTCTATGGCACCTATATGAAATGTGCTCACTCGAGCCTGCGAACAGGCATCGGCCTTTCACAGAATCACTTCCAAGCTATTCAGTGCTCTTCAACAGCACAGAAATGGCGCAGATTTGGTATAAAAGTAGGTATTTAGCTAAAACCCAGGTATTCAAGTGGATTACCAGGTATTTAGCAACATAAGCCTATTAACCAGGTTTCCAGCACACAACCTGCTTTAAAGCAGGTTTTGGAAGACGTAGGTAGGCTTTGGCAAGCTACCATCCGGCGGTGCAATACAATCAGAGCTCCAGGGGTCGCTCCTCGAAAGGTGGGTTAAGCTGGCTGGGACACTGTCCGGAGCTTTGGTTTTGAGACTTTCGGATTCTTGGTTGTTCGGTCATGGGTTTGGACCCGTGTGCCTGCCTGAATTTGGAGGTCGGAGAGACCGGCTACGACCTGGCCGCCACAAGGCGGGTCATCTTGGCGTATTAGGAGGTGCACTTCGCCGTCAGTCTCGGACATCAACGGCGAGCCGGTACCATGAAATCCCGAGGTTCCATTGATTGCAAAAAAGTTGTGCAGGGCACTTAACTTGCCCCAAGCCACAGTAGCGTCACATTCCCCAATCCAATTCACGGAGGGTATTGTCTCCCACCACCCCTACAATTTAGGGATTTGCCAGGATGACTAGACCGCAGCCCGAAACTCAATGTTAAGAAATGGAGTCCTGCATCCGCAACCGGATCATGGTTCGGGTCTTCTTAATGGTTTCCTGGTGTTCTGCGGCCCGGAGTTTCGGATTCTCTTTTTTGATGAGGTGCTGCTCCGAGGAGGAGAAAGCAGCAGCCCGGCGCAGAGGCAGGGGAACCAAAGCTCCAACATAAGCCCGAAACCTTATACAAAAAGCGGAGTTCACTCGTCGGGTTCATAGTAAAGGGCGTATGGTTTTTCCAAACACCATGATCTTGCTCGTGCAAGGCTGAAGTGCAAGGACAGCCAAACTTCAAAGTCAAAGCCCTATTCGCAAAGCCGCAGACCCTTTGACCAAAAGCTCAAGCTTTGGCCTAAGGTGCTTGCAGGATGAAGGTGTTCAGTAGTCCTTTGCATGGTTCAGGGCAGAGAAGCGAAGGTAATCACTAGAAGCTTGTTCAAGCCCGGAAACGTGCTTGGATCAAGCAGGAAGCTCCTTGCTTTATGGCGAGATGCTGCCGGATGGCGTCACGAAGGCTCAGTTCTGGGCTGGCACAGCGGCTTAGCCTTCATGCTGTCAGGTAGGGGTTGACTGCTTCCGGCACAGGCGCTAGTTGAGGAGTGACAGTGCGGCACGACGTTCGACTTGTTCAAGTAATTATGCTCCTCCGAAGGGCAGGGTTTCAGGACTTACCTGCTGCAGTTTTGAGTGGGCAAGCATTGTCGGCTTCTCAGCATTGTGTGTTGATGCTAACCAATACAACATCTCTGAAGCATACGGAGGTTTCGTTCTAGATGCACACGGAAAGGAAAGTCTCGTTGTTGGGTCTGATTTCGTTGAATCTGGCTTCGTGCAGGTCTGGGGAGTTAGGGCTAGCTTGGGTAAGACATGCTATCTTTCACCGTTTTTGTTGTCCTTAAGGAACTTTTCACCCTAAACTTCAACCAAAAAGCCCTTGCGAACGTAAACCCAACATCCTCCAAAGCTTGCGGCCTGCTCAGATGAGCAATACCAGATGAAACAATTCCCTTGCTATCTATAAATGTAAACAACTACCGGACACGTACACTGGTTAAGTACTATGCAATGTTGAATCATGAGTAACATCTCCATTGTCATCATGACCTTCGTGGTTATCCTGAGGCGCAAAAAGACTTTTAGTATTTCTAGTAACAAGTAACAACAGCGTCAGACTCAGCTGTGAACCTGCTGCCATACCAGGCTCTCGACGTCAGTCGTCTAGGCGGCTCGTTGCAGGCGTGGCACACGTTGCATCACGGCTTTTGTGTGTGTGTGTGTGTGGGTGGGAGGGCTGGTGTCTTGAGGTGTGACATTCAAGAGTTGTGGTCCGAGGTGTGTGAGCTTTGATCGACGCATTCGCAGCACCGGCAAAAGAAGCCCACATCCGTCAAGAATCTTGCGCGTCTGCCTGTGTGTATTTCTGGCATATATGTCTGTATATCTGTTTTCTTCTGTCAGGGCCTGTGCGATGCAGTAGGAGACGTTGTTTCGTCGATGTTGAGTCTTGGGCCTGACGCGGTTGGAGTTTCCAGCGCAGCAGGCTCAGGTTCAGGGTTGGGCTGCTTCGCAAAACTTCAATCCCACAGTCCCAAACCTCAGTCGAACAGCCTGACCAAGCTCCCAGTATCCCAAATCTTTTTCCAAAGCCTACACGGAAAGAAAGAACTTCGCATGACAGCTGCTTCAACTTGCTCCCCCATCGTCTAGCCTAAACCCGCAAGTATAATTCTAGATGCAAGCATTCCGTTCGCAAAACAGCAAAAGTTGCAATTACAATAATTACAATTGCACACCAACCTAGAACCTTGAAGCTTTGAACCCGATGAATCCCGTACGCCTCTAGAGACCCTCAACTAATCCCTCATCCAGTTCAGTCCTCTGCAAAACCCAAAAACCAAACCGTTTCGGCCCGCAGCAGGCGAAGTCCGTCGTCCTAGAGCTGGGCATGGGCCGCTGCTGCCTGCTTCTTCACAGAGAGCATGAAGTCCTAGGAAAGGAATAAATAAAGACTATGATGGCTTCAAGGATATATCGTATTCTAGAAGGGACTGTGGTGTACTGTATATGTTTTTTTGGCAAGGGCTTATGGCTGGGGCTGCTATAGCTTTGTGGGGTGTGTCATTCCAGGTCGCACTGGCTCAGGCGGGATGCTGCGTCGTGTGCTTGATTAGCTTGGGTGTCAATTTTCTTATTCGATGCCGCCAGTGTTCTCTTTGGTCTCCTTGCAAGTGCTGAGCACGCCACTTGCAAGCCCCGTCCGGCGGCCTGCAGCTGTAGCCACCCTTTCCGGTTAGACACGGCCCTTTGTATCGCACGGAGCCGGCATCTCCAGTCGATCGAAGAGCAGCGCAACCCACTGCTGCCCCAACTTCGCGACCACGAGGCCGTGAAGTGCTGCCACCAGCTCCACAACGGCAGCCTAGCTGAGTTTCGAGCTTCGGTCCCACACAGCGAAGAACATCGTTGCGCAAAGATTTTTGGAAGCCTTCATTTCTGGGCCCACAACCTGGTTGTGGGCCGAAGCTATTCCCTCGCCGGTTCATGTGGACGACGAGCATGATTTATTTGGACGCTTTGAGACGAAGACAAGACGCCTGAAAGAGCCCGGGCCCAAGCTTGACTCTGCCCACTGAAGAGCAGCCGACTCTGTGAGGTCGCACAAGGCATCGGAAGCATCTACCCCTTTGTTGGAGTGCTTTGTTTGGAAAGCCCTCGATTAAACAATCTTAGAAGTGGAGTGTGCTTACCGTCGAGGATCTCGATGTCCAAGCAAGATCGCTGGGAGTGGACCCGAAGACAGTTGGCCGCGCCGACTGTGGTCCCTTGACGCCTAAGGCAAGGTGAGCAAATGCAGTGTTACCACACTATATGGAGCACAAATCTGCCAAGTAGCGACACATTTTTTGGGATGCTGGCGACAACAAGTCTATCAGCACAAGTCGAAGCCCTGAAACCCCGGAATCTTAAACCAACCAGCCGTCCCGAGACGCCACCCCCGGCTCCGAACCCGAAGCCCGAAAATGTAAGCCCTTAACGCCTTGCCTTTGTTCTCGCCTTCATTTGACCCCTTCCTCATGATCGGAGGTAAGGTATATCTGGCCAATCGCAAACGATTCCGTGTTTGCATAGCTTTCGGAATGAACAGCCTGACCAAATGTTTGTTGACGCACAAACTCTGCTTTCCAGCGGGTTTGGGGGCGGAGCGGGGGGGAGGGGGGTGGGGGCGCACTGGGACCCAGTTTTCGAATTATATAGCTCCTGTGAAGATGTTGTTTGAGACACCAGCGCGGCTGAGCGACGAAGCCTTCAATAGGACCTTAATGCTTTATGGCTGCGTTGTTCAGCCGAATTACAAGGTGGATTCTGGGTAGCGAAGCGAGTTGCGCAATGCTGGCACAAGGCCCTCATCAGAATGAACCTTCTTCTCAAACCTTAAAAACCTTACAAGTACATGTCTGCCTTTTTGACGATCCGGAGCCCCAAGGAGAAAATCTTGCTTCCGGAACACCCCGAGTGCTGAAGCGGCTTTGGATAATTTTGAACAAGCTTTGGCGATCTCTGCGCCAGGTAGTGGCACCGTTGCCATGCAGATCTTTTTGCAGTGCCCTGTGAGGCGTAAGCTCCCATGGTGCAGGGCTACAGGTGATGTTCCAGTGATTCGTGCGATAGGGATGGGCTGTTGGTTTATGGGTAGAGTTCAGAAATGTTTCAGCCAGCTTATTGTGAGTTAAAGCTCAGAACGCCATGCCATGTAGCCCCGTGAAGCCCCAAACCAGCGCTGGACCGAAAGCTTCTCCCAGCCACGAGGAAGGTCCTGGGGGTGGAGCTCGTTTGCTCCCGCTACAGAATCGCGGAGGCAGCTTTCATTTGGAGCTGTGTGGGCCAAGTGAATCAGGGCTTTGGGGTTTCGGGCTTCGGATTGCTACCGGCTTTGACATTCAGGTATTCGGGCTTCGGGCTGCAATTTCAGGCCTTGCCACTTTTTTGTTGAGGATGAGCGCCCAACTGCTCGATGATCTATTTATGGAGGTTGGAGTTATGCTATGGTCCTTAAAGTCTCACAAACGAACCTTGAACCCGAAAGCCTGCACCTCCTGTGCTGGGATTGGCATTCATGCCGATGTTCAGCAAAGCTTTTGCGCAGGATCTTGCGCATGGGTTTCGTAGGGTCTGCAGATTGGATACCGTTCAGATCTAAGCTTTGGCTTGCTGTTCTCACCA